AATATTAATATTAATATAATATAATACAATATAATATAATATAATATAATATTAATATAATATATTATAATATAATAGAATTAATATAATACTATATATTATGACAATACTGGTGGGGGGTGGGTTCGACGAAGGGCGCGGGGGTTCGACGAAGTTCGTGGGGGGGTCGTCTCTCCCTCTGCTTCGGGTTACCCCTCTCTATTTTCCCCTGACGCAAACTTAAAACTTGGGGCTGAGCAATCATCCTCGCATTGTCGGCACCTGGCATGAAGCAAGAGTGCAAGCCGTGAATTCCACAGGACTTTACGGCCCCGAGTCACCTTAGTCACTACGCCACCTGTCACATCCTGTCACATGGCCTGGGCGGCTGTGCAGGACTTGTTGATCTTGCAGAAACTGCATCGCTTTCAGCAAGTTCCACGACCTGTCCGAGGCGGTGTGACACTTGCATGCGGCCTCTTGGGTCCATCTTCTTCGGCTGCCGGGCTGCAGGCAATCTTTGGGCATGGAACTCAAAAGACTTCTGAGAGTTGGGCCGCGGCAGCGGGAAAGATTTCAGAGCCTGCAAGCATCGCCAAGCTCTATGGCGCATCAGTGTTCCGACCAATGCGATCGAACCGTGCACAGGAAGCGAGCATAACGGGAACATGCAAACAACCAGCTCGTCCACAAATCGGATGAGACCGAATCGAAGAGGAGGTTCGGGGATTCGACTACGAGCGCAAAGAATTGCTTGTTATCGACATAGACACTGTCTGTGGCCAGCTTCGTGATGAAAAGTCGAGATGTGCAGAGTTTGGTCTTTTGTGGCGAGGGGTTTGGATGGTAGGCTGTCTGGCACGTGGACGACCGAAGTCACACTTGAGAGTAGAGCGAACGAAAGCCGGGGGGAGGGGACAGAAGTGTATCGCATTGCTGGTAAGTGATGCAACGCTCCTTGTATGCCGTGCTGCGAACTGGTAGGCAAGTGGTTACCCAATCAAGTTTGACAGCGAAATTTCGTTCGAATGCATGGTCACGAAACCCAAGACTGCGCTGAAGCATCGTGGCAAAGCTGGCCCCCTCAATGCAAGAAACACGAGTGTTGCTCAATATTCCTTCTTCCGGAAATGGACTTCTTGGCGGATTTTTGTTTTTCTTTTCACGGGACTTTCGCCCTCACTTTCAGGCGACATGTTTGTAGTACGAGCAGTAGCAGTAGTAGTAGCAGTAGCAGTAGTAGTAGTCGTCGTCGTAGTAGTAGTAGTAGCAGCAGCAGCAGTAGGAGTAGTAAGTAGTAGTAGTGGTAGTAGCAGCAGCAGTAGTAGAAGCAGCAGCGGCAGTAAAGGTAGCATCAGCAATAGCAGGAGGAGGAGTAGTAGTTTGTGAGTCATGGACTTGACAAGCCTGGCTGTCTTTCGCGGCGGATTTCGAGGAAACTTACTACAATTTCGCCAAAACTGACAAACTGTCACAACCGGGCCGGCTTTGAAACTGTAATTATTATCTCAGTTGCTTTAGGCAACACGTGCTCACAAGTTTGGCTTGGAATGTTCCTACCATGCCGGGGCCGCAGAGTCGCCAGCGTCATCTTGCAACCACAGTAAACTCAAAGCCAAACGTCGGCTTTGGGTGTACTGAGCGATGAAAGGCCTTGTCAGTATCCCTGCACACCGAGCATGTTGCTTATGAGTCTTGCACGCCCTATACTATGCTTAGTCTATTGCGCAACAACTTTCGCGGATTTCTGTTTTTCACGGACACATCGGGAGTCTGTCGCGGACACATGGCTTTGCATCTTAAAGTCCGGCCGATGTAAATCCGAAGACAAGGACCTGTGGATCAATGGTCAGAGACGTTTGTTTACGCTATTTTACGCTCCCACAAACTCGTCGAGGCTGGTGCTTGTCAACAACGAATCGCAAAAGATGCCTGCGGTGAATGTGAGACAATCGTAGCCAACGCTGCTGTCTGCAGCTATGCAGATGCACACTGCGGCTATGTTACCGAATGATAATGGCTCTCCTTTTTGCTGCGCTGACCTCTTGAGGGGGGGTAGGTCCCTGCCCCCCCCCGCTCCTGATCGGCATTCTCCAGAGTGACTGATGGCTGTCGCAGCAACCGCATCGAATCGCACAGTGCTAGTTAGTTTTTGCGAGGATGCGAACTCGCATCGAGCGTCTGCACGATTCTGCACGGTGATATAACATGTGCGTTTCCGATGTATCTTTGTCATATGATATGCCTTTCGCCATTCAGAGCATCATGCAAGGGTATATTGGGGTGCAAAGCTAGCTCGTTTGGAGCTTGCGGGGTGGTTGTTTACACGCCGAAGGAAGAGTTTAGGGCCTCGATCACGGATCCAAGCGTCAGCGGGGGGAGGGAAAGGTGGGCAATGCAGCTGTGGGCTTTTACATCTCTCTTTGGGTCAGACATTTAGCCTGCGCTTCGACTGTACGCGATCCCAGCCCGACCCCAGAGCCAACCTTCCAGGTTCAGTGAAAAGCCAGCAGGGGTGTACGTCCGGCGCCGAGCAAAACAGCAAAAACGAATATCCATGTAGATGCAGCCCCAGACTCTAGACGACAATAGCAAAAGGACGGCGAGCACAAAAGAACATTACTATACACTCACACAAGGTGCTGTCTCCGCAGAGTTGCCAGAACGGTTGAGAGCACGGTCCTCAGTGGGGGGGCCTACAAGCGACTTTTGACTTTGCTGCTGCTGTCCTGTCTTGGCTTCACCAAGGAACGCATCGATGACAACTCCGATGCCGTGCGATGCATGAATACTTCTCCGACCTAGTCATGCGGAGTTCCGAATTTGTTGCAAAGCATGCGTTCTACCGGGCTTCAGCCGAACACCGAGGCCGGCTTCCGCTAGGATGGCGAACTTGACTTTCAACTGCAGAGAGAAAACGAAGCAGTCGACATCCAGACCCCAGGGCGAGTGCAAGAGACCAAGGCCGACAATCATAGTTAACGATAAGTGTAGGCAAAGTGGTCCGCTGGTCCCGTGAGATGATCTGGCTTTCGGCACGATGCCATACACAAGGAGATGTCAACGCACTATACTCACCATACAGTATGGGCACAGCTGACACCGAGCCCACAGCGAGAAGATGCAAGTGGCCACTTAAGGGACCGGCCCCGGTCGCCGATTCGACGACATTGCTGGAATCCTTCCCGGGTTCCTCTCTGGAGCACCTGAGTGCTCTAGTTTCGTGTCCCCAATTCAAGGTCACAGGGCAACAGCAGCTCCAAGTTGTGGACAGGCAGAAGCGTGCCGAGAATTGCGGAGGTTGCACACCTCCACCCGAAAACTCGGCGATTGATTCAGCGATTCGAGACGAAGCGTTAGCCAATGTCAGCAAACAGTTGGCTCGTCGAGCAAGTCTCTTTCGTCATGCATCGCCTCGCTCACCATCTGCCGGATCGTCTCCTAAGAACTGCAGGCCAACCTCATCCAAAAACACTAAGAAGCCATCCTGGGTGCACTGCCGCCTTGAGCAGCAATGAGATCTGAGGCACCGAGGCGCTCCACAACAGGATGATCCTCGAAAGCGGCGGGCTGAAGATGCGCTCACAGCGAGCCCATGGCAGTTGGTGGTCATAGCTCCAAAGCAATCGGGACTGAGTGGCAAATTCCAGCTTTCTGATCTGCAGCCCTTAAACTTAAACTTGACCACGTGTGATAGCTCCGAGCCATTTGCTGATACATTCCCAAATTGTCGTGAACCAATCTTGGTGCTACTCAGTCACCTGCTGATTTTGACGGGTTGAACTGGTAAGGTGTGGGGCACTTGTGGGGCTTACATGAAAGCCCTAGCCCCAGATCCACCTGAAACTCATCACCTTGGTTCCTTCGTGCTGGACATGGATACTCATGATTTCTGTTCATTCTCATTCATACAGTGCCATTCCTTTGTTGTTGTTGTTGTTGCTGTTGCTGCTCTTGCAGTTGGTGCCATGAGAATTTGTCATTCAGCTAGTCCTTTTCTGACCACAGAAGCTGTGCAAGGCTTGGCTTGTTTGGCCAGCGACGAGTGTGCCTGGCCTGCCTGCCTGCCTCCAACTTCACTTCATAAATGCTCATGCAGACCAAATACCCCAGAGAAATTGGCCACATCCACGAGTCCACGAAATCTATATCCCAGCTACTTGCGATTCGCTGTTGAGCTCCACGACTAAAGTTGGCAAGTAAAGGAGGTGGATTTTGCACCACGTGTTCCGGTTGGTCCCGTCTTCGAATTGCTCTGGGGTCGATCCATGGATTTTTCTGGTGGCCATAACAATTGGCTGGCAAAATTGAGGGCACTCATTGCCATGAAGACCATGGTCAACATGACTTTGGTGCCCATTGCAATAGGCTCACACGATCGCGCTGGCCTATGCTGCGCGGATGCTGATGGGGTACTTGAGGCTGCAGCTGATGCACAAGATTTCCAAAGACCAGCACCAAGACCCACAAACCGTGGCATCAGTTAGCATGTGAAACCTGTGTCACCATTGGCATCATAGGTGGCTGTCTCTGCTGTCGCTTTATCCAAGTGTGTGTGTGTGTGTAAGTAAGTAAGTAAGTAAGTAAGTAAGTAAGTAAGTAAGTAAGTAAGTAAGCAAGCAAGCAAGCAAGCAAGCAAGCAAGTAAGTAAGCAAGTAAGCAAGCACGCAAGCAAGCAAGAACGTGCGTGTGTGTGTGTGTGTGTGCTTGTGTGTGTGTGTGTATGTGCGCGCGCGCGGGTGGGTGTGTGTGTGTGTGTGTTTGTGTGTGGGTGCGTGTGTCTGTGTCTGTGCGTGCGTGTGTGTGTGTGTGTGGGTGGTTTTGCTTTTGGTGTATGCGAGTACCTCTTTGCTTGTAGTTTTGTTTGTAGTGGCTGCAGCAACTATCGGATGGAAGCCAAAGGGTCTAATGCTCCACCACCCATGGTGCGGTTCTCTTGATTGGCTTCGGTGTAGTTCTAAGTTCTTGTGGTTCGCGTCACAACGTGGGTGCTAAATTTTTGCGCTAAACTTAGAAACACGACCTGGATTCAATCTTGCCGCTGTTGACATTTCGGGTGTGAGAGACCCTTTGTCCACCAAACTTCAGCCCGCTGCGCTTGGTGCAGTTCGTTTCTATGTCCATGGCAGTAACTTTACCCATGATGTCTTGACAAAGAGGGAAGCGTCCAAAACCCTGCAGTGTCCAAACTAAACAAAAGACTCCAAGCATCACCGAGTTTTCCAATGCCATGCCTATGATGCTTTTCGTGCTGAGTTCCCCGGTTTGCTTTCGAAGTTGCCGAGGTTGCCTGAAGGCGTATGGCGTTTTGGCTTAGTACCCCTTTGCGCTCAACCTTGGCCGCTTTCGCTGCTTTGCATTCTGCCCCTTTGCAGTTGACGGTGCCCAGCAACAATGACCCGCTGCATATCTTTGTTGATGGCTCCTGTTTCTGGCCCCAAAACCGATTGTTCTCTGTTTCGGCTGCTGCAGCGGTCGTTGCGGATACGTCCTGCAACGGTGAGGGTGTCATGCATTCCCTGGTCTTGCCAGGTTGCGAACAATCCAATGACCGTGCGGAGGTGTGTGCTATTCTGCTTGCGCTGCAGCTGACGCCGGGATGCACATTTATTCAGACTGCCAGTATTCTGCCCGTGTCAGAATGGAGTGTCTTCATACCAAACGCACGCCACCTGCCATGACTCACATCGATCTTTGGGAAAAATTGGATACTCTACTTGTTGACAGACCACCAGGTTTTGTGGAGTTTATCAAGGTCAAAGCCCATGTGAACTCGTCCAGTGCGCTGCCGCCTTTCTTGGACCGATGTCGGCATTAGAACAAGTTTGCTGATTCCGCAGCAAAGGCGGCTGTGAAAAACGCGGATGTTTTCTCTCTCAATAAAATTCGTGCGCTGTGTGCTATGCAAGATGAGCTCCAACATGTTGTTGGCCAATTCCATGGGTTCATCGCGCGATGCGCTGAGCACGAATTGACTAAGAGAGCAAATGTTGCCGGATGATTCATCCGTTTCGGCATCTCTGTTCTAGACGCGTCATCGGGATGATTGTCACACATCGCGTTGATTGACGATGACGCTTTGGCAAAGTGTCCGTACGGACCTGTGTTTGCTCGTGCTTTGGTTGCGTGGACCCGCCAGAGGCCCACAATCATGCACATGCCGAACAGCTCCATGACTGAACTACTTGTCAATTTCATTTTCAGTGCCTGCATGCGGCCCGCCCCGTCAATGTTCACAAATTTACCAACAAGAAGAAGCGGCCTTCCTATATGTTGCGACAAGATTGTGATCAGGATGTGCCTTTCGAGGCCTACACCTTCGCAGAAGACTTGCGAACACTCCAGGCTGCCATCAAGTGGCCCACTAAACATTTGCAAGTGCAGCTGCTAGCAGGAGAGCGTCTGACCAATTGGCGTAGCTTGTACATTTTAGGGTATCGCCGCCCCACAAGAGGTGTTGCTTATCGTGTCAAGCATTTGTGCGAGCCGGATCCCCGCGCTCATCTTCAACAAATCTTTATACAATCTTCGGCAAGGAAGTGCAAGTTTGACTTTCACATCAATCCTCCACTGTTTAGTTTTTCTCCACATGTAGGTTAATTCCCATTGTGACATAGTCATGCAATTGCCGGGCTATGATCACTGTAGCTCAGACAACGCAAAGCGTCAAAGTCAAAAAATGTTTCTTTTGCTTGCTTGTGTGTAAGTGTCTGTACTAACCACTGAGTCTTGCCCAGCCGACCCGAACACCTGCGACGACGCTGAAGACTCGTGAAGACGTGTCATCTGGGCGTGCCACGAGAGTGGATGTTGCATTCGCAGAATCTGCAGATCGCACGAAGGACGGGAACTCGCCACGGAGTGGTTCGCTTCCACCTGAAGAGATCAAGAAACAGAACATGCACAGACTGAAACCGGCGCTTTAGATTCGTACACTCCCACCAACAGGACGGACAAGACAGCAAGGCTCATAGTAATTGTCGTTAAGCAGCTGCTGTAACAGTGGTCAAAAACAACATCACCATTTCCATTGCATATGTGTCTGGCTGTCGGGCCTTTGCCACCACCGCCTCTGCGGATCTGACAAGTCTCAACCTAACATCATGTGTGGCAGCGATCAGGGGCGGCATTCTGCACAGACAAACCTGCTTCTCCTGTATTGGCTTCTTAAGCTGGCTGCTGGCACCCGCAGATCACTGCCACCTTTCCAGTGGAAAACAAAGGACACAACTCTCAAGGCCACGCCTTGCAAGCAACATCGCCGGTTGATGCGATAAGGGCGTAGCCCATACGGATGCGCAGGCTAGCCATGGGGGCGCTGAAGAAATCATCACCAGCTGAGTCTCCACCCGGTCGCCTGTGTTGGACGACCATTAAGTGCAGCGACGCTTGAACTGAAATCTGCGAGCCTCAAGCGGCTCGAGTCTGAGGGGTCCAGAACCTCGGAGATAATCTGCTCCTGATGCGGAGCTGAACTTCAATGAGTCATGTAATCGTGATTTACCTGTGTGGTTGTCTGACCTGAGCAACATCACAGCACCCGGTGGCTTCACGTGGCAGCTAAGTTCTGCATTGTCCAATCTGTTGGCATCAACACTTCATCCCAGCAGTCCATGGCGCGAAGTTGCTCCAGCATCCGTAGCTCCTCTTCCTCGCGAGAATGGAGTTCTCTGTACCGCTGTATCAACCGCACACTTGATTTTGGAGCATCAGCTGGCTGAAGCTTCCAAGAGCTGCGCCATGGATCCAGCTTCGCCGATCCCAAACTCTCTGTTTTCGCCATCGCTTCCTGCAGGCTCGAGCGGGCTCCCCCTAGTGGCTAAGGTGCAGCTCGCAACACAAAGCAGCGGCCAATGTCTGATTTTGTTTCCTCTGCTAGCTCCAAGACGTCCTGCTGCAAGGCCACCGTCGGCCTGCATGTACAGGCCCGACCATGTCACGAGCAACTTCTCCGAATTGTCCTGAACTGAACCGCTGGGTGTTTCTCGTACCTCGTGCGCTTCTAGAGGAGGAAGATCTTCATCCTCGTCATCGTCGACAGGCCCTCCCTCCTTGAGCAAAGTGCGGTGTCACACTGAGCCGAACCCAAAGCTCGGCGGCATCTGGAGCACCCTTCCTCGTCAAAATCGTCGTCACCCATGCCCTGAAGAGGGCGTGCCACAGATTTCAGCAAGTCCTCAACAGTGATGCAAAGACTCCTGCCTCGTCTTCCATGAACTGAACCTCAACATGCTTTTCTGCTGAATACGTGAAGGTGCGGACCAAAGGCTGACAGGTTGGCTCAGGTGACTGCCACATCTAGAGCACCGCTGTTGCCGTCTACTTCACTGAGTGAACCTTCTCGAGATAGAATGCTCATACCTCAGCTACGCGAGTCCTCACTGTCGGCAGGCACGACCTCAAATCGCACGTCTTGGTTCATGGCCACGTCTTACGGCTCCTTCGCTGCACGGCAGGTTGCCCATGTCAACGCGCAAAGATACTGTCTAACTAAATTTAATGTCGAACTGAGCAATCTGAGATGAAGGCCGTCAATCGAAGGTGCGGAAGAAGCTCGTGATCGATGCATCAACGCCTCGGTGTATCTGCCTCCCTTCTGGTGGTTTTGGCTCTCAATCCTCCGTACCCCGCATTGCCCCGCACTGACCGTCTCTGCTCGCTGCACGAGCAGAGACATGCTACAGACACGCGCGAAAAGGCTCCGGTCGTTACACTCCCCAGATATTGCTTCTGCATTTTGATGGAGCCTTCATCAACATCGAACTGCAGTGTTCACTCGCGCATTGTCTTTGATCTCTGAGTTCCGCTTCCGAAAGCGTGCATCTACGCTGCAGCCTTGGCATGGGTGCCTGCATTTCTCAGCCTGCGCGTCACTGCACGTCCTACACCGAACTCTTTTTTGCATGCAAGGTGTCTTTCCCACGGCTGAAAAGCCACAATTCTGCTTTTGGAAAATTCTAGCTCTGATTCTCCGATCACGAAAAGTCCGTGGCAAGCCACCGACGGTCTGCATGCCTTGGCAGATGAGTTTTGGAAGCATGCTTCCGACTTATGCATTTTTTGGACTGTAGGTCACTAGTGTCTGTCTGTCCGTGGAATATTCAAACTAAGTGGGCTTTGACTTGCGCGCATTTCGTCGCAGCTCTGCCCTGTTCTGTGCCCATGACAACCCAAAGTGTCAAATTCGAGACAAGCCGTGCTCAGCCTCCAAGAGACAGGCCTAGAAACGATTCAATCCCTACGCTGGGTCCGTTTTGCGAGTGCTTCGCTGTAGCATGCTTTGCCCTGCATTGCTTCAGCATCATATTGGCTCGACCGAGGCGACCTTGTTTGCGGCATGGAACTCCGAACTACTCGGCAACATCATGCAAGATCCATACTAGTGTTCGGCCGAAGCTCTGGTACGAATAATGGTGGGGGCTGGTCGTTGAGCAACACATGTCAAAGGCATGCAGTGGATATCAGTGGATTCAGCATGCGCGTCAACATCCAACGGCCAACAGGGTGGGCCAGCATCATGAGCGAACAGTCCAGTGATGTCCAGTGCAGAAGCAGCCAGGTGATCAGTCTGCGATCAAGCGTGTGCGCAGCCTGGGAACCTGTAGCTGCCTATACAGTCTGAACCCAGATACAGATGCACCCTATGGCCGCCACTGCCACTGCTGGTGCAGATGTCGGGCGCGAAGAAGTCGGCGTCCTGTTGCTGTTGCGTTATGCACATGGGTACGCACACGAAGGAGCTTAATTTCCACAAGAGCGGAAGCAAGACAGGAGACAGGCTCCTTTGTTCACTGCCGGCAACGCCAGCCTGTTTTTGAGAGTTTGTAGATGCGCTGGAACCAAATTGCTTGAGCTTGCTTTCATACAATTGGCAATCCACCTCTTCACCTGCAGTGCCAGTTCTTCCGCCAGTACCTCAAAGTCCAATGTCTGGATCTCACACATCGCATCTAGAATCTGGACTCTAGACTGGGTCTCAAAAGCGTGCGTGGAGGGTCCGATCATACCGACCCCGACAAGAGCGCAAAATGACGAAGGAGCACGAAGAAATGATGTGAGCTTTATCTGTCTGTGGTGACTGGAGCAGCGGCAGATGCCAGGGCTCAAGCCATTCGCTCCAGCGTTTGCAGAGACGTTCTGCGCGTGACGCTCGGCCTGCAAGAAAGCTTCCAAGTTTTCGTTCGCTCAGAGCATGCATCTTCTGATGTGCTATCTTTTCACTCCAGGTGCTTGTCTTCAACGCAAGTTCATCTGTGGCTTGGGCCCATTCTTCTTGTCGACGCCGGAGGTGCTCCCGGATTCGCACCAGGTCTGCCTTGATCGGCCAACCAGGTACCCAGCGTCAGGACATGGCCGGATGCTATTGTAGGGGATACTGCAGGCATTCAGTCCAGCCTGAGAAAGCACTGCCTGGATCGGAGCACCGTTGGCGCTTCCCGTGCCTTGAGATTGAGGGGTCTTGTTGTTTTTGGATGTTCTTGCACCTTCCTCATGACCAGCGAAGAGCGTCAGCTAGGGCCGAAACTGTCCCTCTTTCCGGGCCTCCGGTGACTCTGTCTTGCTTCAGAGGTTATCACAAGCTGAGCTTGATGAACTGCAAACTTCTGTCATCTTTGTCAAGTTTGCCGAGGTCAGAGCGGAAGGCGAATGCGTGCCCGCGGCAGCTTGTCATACAGCACCCCTTTGTCGTCAACCTCACCCACAGTGGCAGTGCTGCATCGGAACCAACCTACCGCCTGCGTGTGGAAGGTAGCGACGTGAGAGACGATGGGCAGCCCACCAAGCTGACGCGTTCCCCGAGCTGCCCGACAACAGTGCCTGCAGGAAGGCAAGGTGAAATCGCCAAAAAGTTCCCATGGCGAAGCGATCCTGGGATCCAAGTCTTGTCTCCATTCGGAGTGAATTGGATGCGACTCGTGAGTCCAGACAGCGGCCTTAAGAAACCAACGGCGAGAACATGAATGACAGACATGCTTCAGTTCTCAGGCTTGAACTCATTCTGCTGGCTTTTGGCCTTCTCTTTTTGGGCCTCCTTAGCACACAACCCCCCCAGACTTGTCGTTGCAGACCAGCTCGAGCTCCGATGCCTGAAGAGCTTCTTGATCAACTACGACGGCTGTCTGGACCTTGGCATGACTCGCATTCGCAACATATGGCTTCCAAAACATGACGTCGCTTGCTGTTGAGATTCGCCTCAGGTACAGGTTTGGCCTTGTCGCCGATCCCACTTGGGCAACTACCACATGTCCAACACGTGTTGCTAGGGTTTCTGCCTCGGGCAACGTGGAAACTGGATGTTTGTCACCGACACCCTCAACAGTGATGTCAGCTTGGACGAGGAACCTCCTGCTGCGTAAGCTTCTGCGCGATCGGCCCCATGCCATTGTTGGCAACACCCGCCTGAACTGCCTCCTCCTGCCAGCTGACAACATGGAACCAGCACATGCATGACGTAAGGTCAAGCGATGTCAGGCGCACCATTCCCGGCATACCACGTGGACAAAGCTCCCGTACCGCGCCAACCTTGGCAGCACTTTCAATGCGTTCTCTGGTTACGTCCAGGTTCTTTGAAGAAGTCATTCGCGGTGCAACGGTTCCGAACTGTCACGACCAGTACGAGTAGTTATTGGATCGATCCAGCAGGTAATCTACTCAAAGATGCTCAACAACGTCTCAATCTTCCACCTGTCTCCCATTGTCTCCCCACAGGTTGGTTTGCAGGCTGCTTCGCGGCTTGCTGGGGGTGAACTGAAGCCAATCGGTATCACTTGTTCAGTCGAGGATCTACTGGCGCTACTTGCCATCTCTGCTTGCTAGGTGGCCTCTTTTTTAGTCAGGGATCGTGGGTTGCGCAGGGTCTAGCCCATTCTCCCCTTTCTGTATGTCGTTCGTGATCAAGTTTTCCAAATTCTTCCATTTAGCTGCGTGTAAGGGGGGTATACCGCCTGCAGTGCAGCTTGGTCGAGGCGCGGGCGTCGGCTGTAGCTAGCTGGGTTACAACAAGCACAAGCGTAAGCCCTACTCTGCTTTTCGATCCTCACGCTCGCACCAGGCCATTAGGTAGGCAAGAATTGCAGTAGCAGGGGTCCGCGGCTTCTGCCTTCGACTTCGGGGTTTCGGTGGGCCTTGAGCCTTGGGGCTGAAGCCGAAGGGTTGGGTCTTTCGTCACAGTTCATTCCCACTGGTCAACAGCCACACTGAGAGCTGATTGGGGACAGCTTCTATATTCCAAGCCCTGGCCTGCAGGGATATTGGATGAGGCCAGGAAGATCTCCGAAATCGTATGACACGAAGCTCAAAGAGCATCAACTAAGTCGCAAACAATGTCATCCTTGACCATTGGCCAGAACAGTTCGAAAGGGATTTCGTCAGAGACGGCCTTGTCCACAGTCTCTCTCTCTCTCTCTCTCTCTCTCACTCAGCCTGCCGTCTTGCACTGGTGGGAGGAGCGTCCAAAACTTTTTCAAATCAATAAGGTGCGGGCAATCATGACCGTGTGCACCTGGAACAGACACAGACCAATGCCGACAGCCGACGACGGATTACTACAGTACATTATATCCCGGTGGTCGGTCACTGCAGCCAAACCCCTCCAGCGCTCGTGGAACTGTCGTCGTAATTGCAGCATAACCACATTGCTTTGTCCATGTGGCGCGACTGAGTTTCGGACCCGCATCGCAGGATCCACGGCCTGTTCCTTGCTTGTGCAACTGACTTCCTTCGCATGTGTGGCTCCGAAACTTGTGGACAGGCTCAGGACAACTATGTGAAGATGACGTGACATGCTACAGCTACAGGGCAACATAGGTCAGCCGTAGCAGGTTGAAAAATGCACACTGTGCCTGTCTGAATATTCGACTGGGATGCCGGACACAGGTGGTGTCGCCATCCGTGGTATCTGCAGCAAAGGCCTCCGGGCGCTTTGCCAGCATGCTCTGCCACGGCTTTCGAGAGATTGCACACAGGATCGAGCCAGGTTCCAAGCACAGCGTGTCTTCTCAGCACGGATAAGTTCCAGGACCTGCAAATGCTGACTGGCTTGCGGAATTCCCTGACACAGCCGCAACATACCCTGTTTGACTCCGCTCCTGGATGGAATTGCCAGATGCTAGCATCACGACCTCAAGTCTCCAAACAAACCAGGCTTGCAAAAACATCACCATGCCGGAGCTCGAAAATGCGCTGTTTACGGTTTGTGTAAACTGACACTTCGTACTCACCCTTTGCTCTTGAACAACCGTTGGCGAAAGCCCGCACCGGTGCGACACTGAAATGTTTGCCGCTTCTGTTTACTACTTTTCGCAACATTCATATCACTGTCTACCACTATAACCAGTATCAGTATGCCACTATACCTAGTCCGGATTACGTGGTCACACGATAACTGCAGTCTTTATTAAAGTATTAAGACCACTTCTATGGTCACCATTTTGGAAAGAACATGTTTTCGCATAATATGATTCAAATCTCCGCTACGTGGCGACTCCAAGCTCCCGGCTTTTGTTTTGGCTTCTTCTGACCTCGTTCACTGAAAGCATTAGGCAGTTCGATGGCCAAGTTGGACAACTTGCAAGAAACAAGAAACACAACTTGCAACTTTGCCCTTACCCTGCGCGCAACGATCTCAGTGACATGCGCAACGTCGGCATCACTTCGATCCTGCCCACGTCTTTGGAAAGAGAACTATACAATCGGCAAAGTTCGCACTGCCACTTAGGACTCAATCGGAACCTTCACTCTGCGAATGGTGCTCGCGGTGCATGGGTCTGCAATTTTTTCCGAACTCTTTTTCAAAAATTATGAGCTAACCAACTGCACTTTATACTTTCTATCAAGCTCCTGTCCACAGCCACTAACAGACAACGCTGGAGCAGGCAGGTGGGATTTTCGGATTTTCAATCAGCGACCAGCTGTGGAAGCTGATGCTCAAACCTGGCCGTGCACTTGTTAAGTGATCGTACTGCATATGAATGCGAGATACCACAGGGATGGAACATGGATGTTCGCCCCATGTACAACACGCACGCGCGCGCACATGCAAACAAACGACACACAGACAGACACAGACGCTGAACGCTTACAGATACTTATTTACTTACTTAGGCACTCATCCGCTGCCTACAAGCGGTGATGCACCTTTTTACTAATATTTACATAACCATGCTCTATGTTCGGTAACCGGGGGTCCGGGGCCAAACTAGACTCAAGGATTATTCTGTTTGGAGTCCCCAGGCTGCCACTGTAAGGCCCGTGTCAAAATTAACTGCTGTATGCATCTCTGCATGCAATAATTTCTACTGCCGACAAACATTGTCATACAGTATCTGCTGGCATGCACCAAAGCAAACACTTCACCGACTTGTTGCGGCGACATTTGCGAGTCTATGGCCAGCGCCTTAACCGGAGGCTGCTCGACTGAAACCACTGGCTTCTGTGATGCCCCACTGACGGTAGTCTGGAAGGGGCCTAGTATAGGGCAGTCTCCTACATGCAGGAGGACAGCCGGGAATGAAATTGAAAAACATACATCTAGCTCAGGACTCGTTGAACTGACGGCCTGCAATATCCTGCATTCAAGCATGGCAAAGCCATGGCCTATCGTGACAATCCAAAGCTACCATGGTCTCTCCAAGCCAAGAACCTTTGTCAACATCTGCACAACGGATGGACTGTGGCTAAAGACTGCGTCTCGGACTCCAAAGCAGGAGCCTAACATGAGCACGGAGTATTTGGCGCACACACTCTGACAGACACATGCGACGCGCCCACCCACCCACCGGCCGCAGAGAGACAGACAAACAGACCCAAACAAATAGCGCGAGCGGAATCCAATCAAGCATGGACTGTCCGATCACGATCAAGAATACGCCAGAAGCCATGTTAATCAGCCATGAATACTGCCAGTCGCTGGACTCGTTGCTTAACATCTTCAAATAAGTGGAGCATCTCGCGCCCACAAGTGCGGGCGAAAGCTCAACGAGCGGAAGATGCAGTGCGCAGGGCGGACGAGTTTAGAAGCTACCAAAATGTGCTGAACATCTAAACACGCGATGATGTCTGTCCGACAAAAACCTGCAATGGAGCCACCCCGGCCGCCGTCCAGCAAATAGCGCGGGAGCTTCCTCCGTGTCGGAGCCAGCATCATGAGCATCAGAAGCTTCACCCAGCACCTGCTGGGGTTTAGCCCTGGAAGTGGACAGCGAAGCTGGGCCTCAACACAATTCAGCTCCCGTCCCACGCTGGCAGAATGTGGCAAATGTTTGAACGACTGTCAATTGCAATTCATGATTCTGGAAAAACCCATGAAAACAGATGTCGCATGATCCGGGCCACGTGGTTGACGGAATAGCAGCAAATATCATATGTACTCTAGCTCCCGCGAAGTGGAAATACACCAAGAACTGGCAGTCGAACCACCCCCATCCACTCCCTCACTGTGACATCTCGGCAGCCTCAGGCTTGACTTCCGAGATCTTCGTAGCCTCGCCATGGCGACCAAGCAAATGCGGCAGTTTTGAGTTGTCTGACGTTGTGTGTCATGGGCCGTCTCGCTCCGACGTGTCCGGGTGTGTCCACAGGCCGACGTCAGGTTGCAGCTGATTGCCGGCTGACGCCTCCGTCCCTGCGAGAATGTGCTCCAACCTGTCCTTAGCATCTTGCCGCAGCACGTGGCTGGTGGTCTGAAGGCAATCAGAGCACCCGGCCAGAGTGGCCACATACTCTTCCGCTCGAGTCATGGCCTGAAGCTGGTTTAAAGCCTCAGGCTGTACGGGATCTGATCTAAAGACCATCTAGGATCAGCCATAGCATAGGAAAATCTCTTTGGATGTCTGGGCTCCATGCCACCTTCAGGGCCAGGTCTGAAACATCCTCGGAGAGCGACAGCACTGCGTAGCTGCGGTTCGCCAGAAGCCAACACCTGACCAGCACCCTCGATCCTCTTGCACAAGCAAGCTGCAGTCAGCAGGTCCCACCAGTAAGGCCATAGCACTGTCAGCATGCTGGAAGCAAGGGATGTTTGAGCGCAAGGCTGGTTCGCGTCCTCATCTTCGGCCCGCACTGTGTGCACCTCGCCGCCATGGTACATTGTCTCGAGGTGTGCAGGGTCGCGAGAACAGCCGAAGCAACAGACTTGGGATTTTGCTGGGATGGGCAGCCCGAGGCTGAAAATCTCGAAGGCGACCACCTATAAGAGCATTGGTGCAAACTTACACTTTGTGAGTCACCATGATGGCCTCATAGGCTTTGTCTGTGTGATGGTCCCAGATCCTATGTCCTGGGCAAGAGCACGGTCCAATTCATTCCAAGCGACGCTAACCAAACGCAGTATTTACAACAGGCTTAGGCCATGGCCAATAAGCCGATGACAAAATTTCAGGTATGCTTCGTCAATACATGGTGTAACCTGAGCAGTGCATGCAGCATAGCCGGCTTGAAGTACTGCCCCGCGCAAGCGCAGCCTTTGTGAGAAAATTTGCAAGGTCCGTGAGCTGAACCAGGGGTTCCACAGAAACCTGGCCAAGCATGTCTCACGAGACACCAGAACCTGATTGCGCCACAATTGGCACTTATCGACACAATACAGTCAAGACTGACTATGCACCAAAGCAGTGACAAGCTACTTGCGTGTTGAGTGCCTGCTGTCTACAATATCCGCGGCAACAAGCTCTGACTCCTGAGAGCCCATCCCTTGCCTATACTGCACACATGGCAGGAGCGCAGACAATGCCGGTGCTTGCTTCGGCAAGTGTATGTCCAGCACCGGGCATGCGATGCCACCTGCGAAAGCCACGATCGGCTGTAACAAGTCACACAGCAGAAAGTGCCAAGGTGTCGGCTCGCCATGTTGCGTAGCTTCAAGGAAATAGGCCTCAGAATATGGGCACTCTGTCTGGCAATGCCGGCTGAACATCGGAACATCTCGGAAGCTGAGAAGCCTGCTCTGTCAAGGCCTTCAGGCCACGATCCTTTTTGTGCCGCCATACCTTGGAACCGACAGGTTCTCGAACCTTTCCTAGCGCCTGGGCACGGGTGTGGACAGTTCAGCGATGTCGCTGAAATTACGGTTTCCTTTGCCTGATCTGCAGAATGACCGCCAATGCCTTTACGAGTCATAGCTTACATTGCGCGAAACTCCGACTGCACAGACGACGGTGTAATCGGATGTCTCCTTCAGCAGTTACTCAAGTTTCCGTCGTTCGAGTCATTTGCACTTGACCAACACGGGGCAAGTTAAATATCAGTCTGGATTCCGGATCGGGCCCGATGTCCGACCGTGGGGAATTCGGGGACTGGTTGATGTGGGGCTTCACAGGGCTGCTCTTCTGCATCAAGTGCCGCCAGCACCGACAGATATCATGATGCGGCTCAAAAATGTGCAAACTTGTTTTCCACCGCTCACTGCTGAGCTGGTATGGGCCTCGGACAGGCAGCGCCTCTCCGGTCTCGATCACGGCATGCAGCGCCTGACGTCTCCGGTACCAAAGATTCTGATGGACTTCTCTGACCCGGTTCTGTGGATATCAAGGTACGGCGAGAGAGACCGCGATTCAAATCTTCGATCCTATTTCGTCATAAGTTGTCACCTGCTGCCTACCTGACTGGGTCGCCGAGCAGGGAAATCAAGGATACCAACGGTTAGCTATGGTCCGGACTTTGGTTTGCGATGGTTCCCTCCCTTGTGCAGCATACTTGCTGTATGCTGCATTGGCAAGCAAAACTTGCTTGTCCAGCCGGAGAGTGAAAATGGCGCGGGACTAAGTAAGCGTCGCTCCTTAGGCAAACAACGTGAAATGGAGATAACTGCCACGATCCCGCAACTGTCCCGTGGATAGGGAGAAAACTTCGAGAAAATGACGGCTTGCACTTCAGGATCGGCGGCGTGTTGTACACCCCCCACACCGGACTTCGCCTTGACAGCACATGTTTGCTTCTTTAACCTTGCGTCGTGCAGGAGGGCTTGCAAGCTCCTTGAAGCTGCTCTCCAAACTTCGCGTGTGACGGACTATCGGAAACATGGGCCTGGGGGCCGAGGCGGGGTCGCGCAGCATCGCGCAGCAACAGTAGCACACTGACACTGCCAGGCCACGTGCTGACGGCTGGGAGAGTTGTGGAAGGCAGGCATAAGCATAAGCGAGGCATTGCAGGTGACACTTAACTGCGCAAACAATCGCAATACCATGAGCAGTTGGCTGCCAGCCTTCAGGAACCTTGTCAGTCCCTTCTTCGATTGCTTCCTTAGCTTCTTGGGCAAGCTGTAGGCTGTATGCACACAGCAGAACCAGCAGCCGATGCTCTGCCGCCCTCCACGGCTTTGCGCCACCTGCCCCTATCAAAATGGCAAGGAGCGAGAAGTCCCCGAATGCTTCGTAGAAAAGCTTCCACCGATCCTCTTTGTGCGACCTGAAGCTGAAACACAGCCTGGTTCAGCCTTACACTCTCTTGGCCGACTTTGAATTGTACTGCTGTGGCTATCGCAGGCATGGTTTCGCAATATCTTGCCACGCATTCGCGCATAATCAGATATAACCAGGGTGTGGCGCATTGGTGCGACAAAGCTGGCTCGAGGAAGATCTTTATAACTTCCCCATGTGCAGCACCGTCCTGTACTGCCTTCAGCACTGTGCCGCCTCCGGCTCTGAGGCATGTCCAGTTGCTCCGGTCAGCATCAAGCAGCTCGAGCCGTCCAACTGAAGACGCCTCCCCACACTGTACAATTCATTCTACAATTCAAACACGAGGTGTCAGATGCCTTCAAGGCAAACTTCGGCCTAGGCGCTGCTACGTCCTCGCACTGTACATTTGATAAAATCTGCAGAACACAGAAGATCTTCAGCTAGCTGCTAGCTGCTAGCTCGTAAGCCCAAATCAAACAGAAAGCGCAGGTTCGGCATTTATGGCGATCGTTGCCCACGCCTTTATGGCCATTTATAGCCATGGAAGCTGCCCCAGCTTCGATATGCAGAGGGGAAATCGTATGAGTGCTTCGATGGGCACGCAAACACGGAAGGCACGTGCGGTACAGTCTCAACTCTGTCAGATAACTCGACTCACAACTACTTCTGCACTTATGGAGATATGGTCGTCCTATACTTATACAGTTATACAGTACATTCATTCGGTATGATCGACAGATGGAAATCTCGTCAGTCTGCTTGCGGCGCAGCCGGAAACAAAAGCGCTTCTGGTTCACTTTCTGACATCCTCAGAATCTGCGCGTAGCTTCGACGCGCCTCCGGGACCAGTCCGTGATCGCAGCTGTCAATCATGAACCGGTGCCTCCGATCTGTGAGCTCCACGACCCGACCGGAACGTTGGATGAAGCCGAGCCCTGCAACCTTGGCTGTTCCCCAAGATGCGCTAAGATTGAAAGCTCTCCAACGGACCTCTCCAATGCGAGAAGTGTGCGAGATGCCATGCAGACATCTCCTCTCGAGTCGGGTGACCCCTTCTTGCGGGAGAGATGCAGCGTTGGCAATGGTCGCGGGCTGTCAAAGTGACGTTCGGTATGTGCCAGGACGCCTGCCAGTGCGAGATCGTAAGTTCGCTTTTGAGGTTTTTCACCCTCATTAACAAGACGTCGCTTGTCTAAGCTGTGTTGGCCGCAGAACCGCTTCTTGCTGCACGGGGTCTGGGACTGTGCATCTCCACGAAGCTCTCGTGGCCATCACCTCGCGGGGACTTGCTGCGGTCGAGCCCTGAGCTGGCTGAACAACGGAAGTAGCGAGGATCAAGTGCCCGCAAGGTTCGAAGCCTTCAAGGGCCTTCAAAGCTCAAGGTTTGGAAACCAGAGTTCAAAGAGCGAGCCTGAAGAACATGGGATTTCTCTACATTGACCCTCACACGGGCTTACGCAGGGCTCGGACTGCCAGGCTGGGGCTCGAACTCTGAGCGCGGCTTTCACAGCCTCCCATTTCTTGCAAACACCCCTAGCTTCCGTCGTCCTCTTCTCTATTCCCACATCATTGTCCGTTCTGTTGCTGGAAGTTGAGAGTCGGCTTGGGAGCTCGTGGCCTTGAAAGGGCTGACAACGTAATCTCACTCAAGAACTTGGTGCCCATACCCTGGGTTTGGTATGCACGTTGCTTCATGGTGGTCAGAGTTGGTCGGGTCTGCATCGATTCGGTGTGCGGTTCTATCTTCCAGGTGGGGGCTGCAGCCAACTCCAGGGATAGCGATGAAATATGTTCACGGGATCTGAAGAGCGAGATCAGGTGAACGAAGACAACACTCAGGATCAATCGCCAAATCACCAAAGCTCGAACCCAAAAGCCACGAGCCTAGGCGGAGTGATATTGCCGACCCGCAGATTACTGTCCAAATATATATTGGGAGCACGAACACCGACTCAGGGAATCAAACAACTATATGGCCTCTTTGACTCTGGACGTGACGCAAGCACACTCTCGGACGCTAACGACATGTCAAGAAACCTACATGGACAGGATCTTCAGATGGCAGTTATCTTGATTCTCTTGAACACAAGTCTCAAACATGTAGGTTCAACGGCCTTCTCTTACATTTTCGACTTGGTCGGCGCGCGGCAGAAGCTCGGAAAGCGCAACGACATCGGCCAGAGTGTCCTGCACGGCCCACAGCTCAACCAGCCTCTTGCTTCACGAAAGAATGCATATACACTCAACCTTGAAGCGCCGAGTTGCGGCAACGGCTTGCAGGACTTCTTCCATGCCAACTGGCTCGTCCTTCACGCAAGCACCGCTCACGCCAAGTTGTTTACCGTCTTTTGCCATAGAGGAGTAAGCTCAACAACCAGCACCGGAACAAAATCATTCAGCGCGTACCATCCAGGTCCACTATGGAGGCAAGAGCCATGGCATTCTACTGCCAGTAGTTCGGCGAAGCGACATGGGGTCCTTCTGCCTTCTGTAGTTCCACAAAGCATGGAAGAAGATCCTCCGCATCAAGGGAAATGTGGTGCTAACACGTCCCGCTTAGGGTCTCAAGGGCTTGGGATTGTAGCTGGGCTTGGCTCAGAAGTGGGGTTCTCGTAGCTGATACGTTTCAGTGCTTCAAAGCCGAGGGGAGACTTGCACAAAGGAGTTTCAGCAGAAAATGTCGAGTAATGCAACAACGTGCATCTGCAGAGTGTGAGTCGCTGATTGCTCGGCCAACTCTACGCGGGAAACTTAGAAGCTTGCCTCAGGTGCGAGCGCGCCGATGTCTTTTCAAACACCCGTGCCGAAAATTCAGACTTTCATGAAGACGACTCCTACTGCTGTATACTACAGTAACTATTACTTTTACTATGCTACTCCTGCTCCTCCGCCTCCTCCTCCTGCTGCTGCAGCACCACGTTCAGGCTCAGAATGTAGGAGCTCCAAGACAAACGCAGATCTACGCAACCAGCAGTAGAAGCTGCCGAACTTCATTGGCTAGACACGCGTGGCTGCCCTCCAGAGGCCATTCTCACTTGTCGGAGGGTATTGTTCGGACTGGCCGATACGTGTGGGAAATTAGCTTCATTTCCTCCCACCCGGTGCTTGGAGCTCTGACTTGTTCATCTATCCATCACTGGATAACACGCAGCCCATGGGTTTCCTGCACGGCCAGCGGGCAGCTTTTCGACACCACAGCCGTCTTGGGGGAGTAGATGGTGTTCAAAAACTGCTCCCAGGCAAATCCCCTTGACGGAAAGGCTTGGCACATGTAAGTCCGAATCGTCCTGCCTTCAAGCTTTGATACTCCAGGATACGTGAATCAGCAGCACACAACCAGCCCATAAATGGAATACGGGTATGTGCATGAAGCATCATGAAGCACCAACACAACAATCGAACCTCGCACTACTTCACGACTACAATCGGCGTTGCTCCTCTCTGCTTGTTCTGATGTGAGGCCTGGAAGCCACTGCATCAGGTCCTGCTGCGTGCTCAGGCTACTGAGAAACCGAGTTCTTCAGGAAACACACAGCTACCAAGCATGAACCTTGACTTGACCTGAAGTGGCAGAGTTGCTTTCTGGACTCGGAGCCCTGCGCTCCAGACTCCAGAAAGATGCCGGACTATGGGGCATCGTACGGTTGCGGAATGTTGCGGACATCCCGTCCCTCACGCAACAAAGGACAGCACTAACATCGGACAGGCAAAGCTTAGGGACGCGTCATCTCAACCAAGTGGACAGAACGTGAGATGAGCGCGGTTGAGCCATTCTAGGCACTAGCTAGTTTTGTAGGCAGGAGTGGATTTGAAGCTTTGAATGGTGACGGTGACCTGATCAGCCTTCGACGATGACCGCCAGAGAGGACCCACCGATCGACGAGCCATGATCACGATGCTTCCGTGCCCAGCTCCTGCACTTGGATGATTTCCTCGCTCTCATACATGTCCAGACCTCGTTGCTTTTCCTGGCCACACGCAACGAGTAATTGGCTCATACAGCTGGCACAGAATGTCAATGGATGACACCTACTTGGTAGTGAAGGAATCAAGCCTCCGGACCAGTCATGTGCCGCCAAGGTGCGCACATCTTTAGCAGCTTTTGTAATGGAACTTCGCGACGCATGAAGGCTTCCCAATTGCGGGTAGCTACTTCCATAACTGAAGTCCATAAAGGTTCGCTCCTTGGGTGACATGACTGAATCTGGCTCCAACAGAAGCAATTTGGCACGCCTTGTGGCGCAACTTTTCGTGCACGCATAGATGTCCATCATAATGGCGATGAGCATGTTGAGCATCAGTAGGAGTCCGACCTGAAACGCACATACCCGAGGATCCTGGCTGTGCAAAAACCGCGTCGTGGCTTAGCCAAGTCCGGGACGAATTGAAAGGCTGCGAAGAAAAGGAGGGCAACTGGGCGTCCGAGACTGTCCTATAAGCAGGCTCTTTCCGAAAGTGCAACGGGAACAGCAATGCAATGCGCTCTACTTTCCAACATGCCTAGGCCTGTCTGTGATGCTCACTGGCAGCCCAAGCTTCTATGGATGTCCAGCGCACTTCTCCCATCAGGGCAAAGAACAAGACGCTGGCTGCTCGATCCAATGTAGAAAACTGCAGCTCATCCTCTCCAAAGAAAGCTGTTCCCATCACCTGAAGCCACAACACGCACTCGATCATGGCGCTGCATGCCCGCGGCCATAATTTGTACTTATGTACTCCCATGGAAAGCATGCCCATCTGAAACTGTACGCCAAATATGATCCCAATCACGCCCAAACTAGAATAGCCGTGCCTGATGTTGACAACTGATACACACACACACATATATATATAACAATATATATATATGTATATATTTTGCTATGTAGGTGTGTATATACATATATATATATACAGGAAAAAGATTATAGGCATATCTATCTATCTATCTATCTATCTATCTATATATATCTATCTATCTACATATATATATATACCCTGTACTTCTTAGCGGGCGTTAAACTGATACTTTTATAAAGTAGGCGATAAACTGTCACGTTGTGCTGAATGCTTCCGGGCCTAGAAAGGCCAAGCCGGTGTCATCGACATTGGCTCTGAAAGCTGCTGCGACTTGAGGGGGCGGGTTACAAGCTTTAGGGGGCCATTCGCTTATTCTTTCAAGAGTGCTCCGATTGCTGCCAACTTCAGGGAACTCGAGTTTTGGGTTTAGGGTTCAGGGCTTACCATAGATGTTTTTGGTCGGATGGTTTGGTGTTTGCTCGTGCCCATGGTACTTCTGGTTCGAGCTTTGCTCTTCTTCGCCGGACCCTAAGCTTCCTTCAACCCCGGTGCCTGTGATGCACAGTTTAGATTAGCTGATACAAGGTCTTCATGCCGGTGCGAGCGCAGAAAGCGTTCGCAGACCGCCTCCGCCCAAGATGGCTCTCTCTCTCTCTCTCTCTTGGTCCGTGCAAGCTTAACTCTTCTGGATTCTCACGCAAACTGCTGAGTCCTGGGTTCGTTGACATCATCTTGCTCGGGTGCCCCGCCCTCCCCTGCATTGTGCTGGCCTGCTCTGTTGTTCAAGTGTAGCACGATCGCATCATGAGCATCTGTTGGCTTCGCTGCAATCGGCTCTCAAACATACGTGTTGACATGCATGATGTTTGTGTGTGTGTGCAAGGGTCAAGCTTTCATACATATATATATATAATGATCCCGGTTCGGCCGCCACCCCCGCCCTCCACAATTGTTGGCACCCCCTCGAACCCACTGTTTTGCGGTTCTCCTCTCTTGCTGTGGAGTGCAAACACATTGAGCGATTGAAGCACGAGGATTCGCGCCCGCTTCAACTGTAACGACATGTTCGCAGGCCTCTCCGCGAACAATTGCTACGCGTCCGTCACAGATATACCCATGCAGTTTTCGCTCTTGTTGCATTTCTAGCACTCACTTTGACATCCAGCGGCCGCGAATGCTGCAAAGACGGACAGGAACACCTGAGCATCAGCGCTGCCGACGGATGACTCTAGAACGCCCTTAGATGGGCAGGCCAGTAGGACTAGCTCTGCTTTTTGACGAAGGGGAACCCTGGAAACGCAGCTGAGCGGCCAGTCCGAAGTGGAACAAATCCACCGCAGCAGCCGACAGTGTGCGTGTCAAAATCGCAAGACGTGGTTGCCTCAGCTGTAGGAAAACAGTATAAAACAGTCAAGGCTGCCGAAGCGTGCAAATTTGCGATGGCCATAGTGCTCAGGGCTCAAGCCATGTAAAGGGTGGAAGGTAAAAGTGAACAAATCATCTGCGAAGGGAAACTCGGCCGGGAAAGCGCAAGAGTCACAGTAAGAGACGGTTCAGGAAAGCATGGGGCAAAGATTGGGACAGCGAAAGCCAACAACGATGACAGAACAAACTTAAAAACGCATGATGTATTATTCCTATACGAGTATCACCATCTAAACATCAAGCGCCGTTCTCATGTCATCGCGGTCCTGGCGAGCAAGTGCAACTGACCCAGCGCTATGGCATCACTGTCAGCTGCAGCCACTGCACGTATGCCATGTATGCACGCCTGAGACGGGAGTGGGCCCTTAAACTCAGCAAGGTTCGTAAGCTACTCCAAGGGGCAACGGTACTTCCAAAATGCCATTGACAGACTATCGCCAGTGTGGCTTCTTGCAAACCAAAGAATGCGGAGCTATTCAATGCCAGAAGATCTGCTCCCCATGCAGTGTCGCTCCAGGGGCTTTGGGAAAGCTGGGCCGTCTCTGCACGTGTGCACTGACTTCTTCAACCCAAGGCTCACGAAGTGTAAATGCTCTGCAAACTCAAGATTTCAACTACAGGAAGAGCAACCTGGACTTGGCCAAGTCGCGCACTGAAGGCCTTTAGCATTCGCAGTATGACGATAGCCTGTTGCTGTCCAGTCGGATCACGGAGCAAAACGATGCAAGCAGAAGCTTTGCCAAAAACCAGAACGGACTGTTCAGGCAAATCTAAGTACGGCTGATGCGACCAGGATGCAGGGTAGATGCCTTTGAGGAGCCTGCCTCGCAAGCAACCCCCCTGACAAAAACAGCTCAGCGATACAGAACCATTTGTAAGCAGTGATCACAACGGCCCACTGGCATACTAAACACACCAACAAGGCTGGGAACTACCGTCAATGTTCCGGCGAAGCATGCTGTATGATCCCTAATCGCACATCGTCCGCACACCGAGTCTCTGATGAGACTGCATCAGCTACTTGTCCAAAGGTGCAGCATAGAGTACGTAGCGGGTGGTACTAGGTGAAAAATACCTTGTACGGTTGGCTCTGCTTGTTGCTCTCTTCCAAGGCGCAGTTATGCGCAAGAATGCCAACGGATTCAATCTGCTTGAGCAGCTCCTGCAACAAAGCAAAAATCTTTGGCGAAAGCTACACCACTGAAGACCCCAAACAGTTGGCCAAACCAGAGCAAGACCTGGTTTTGATTTGGAGGAATCATCTCGGTGCGAAAGCAACACTGAGCAAGCCGGGGTGGTTTGGGGTGGAGGGTGCGCGGTGCCGGGTGGTGGTGGGGGGTGCTGCACTTGCCGTCCAAGCTGAACAGAGAGCCACTGGGAATCTCGGCTGCCTCGCTACCAAAGTGTGAACGGCCAATGCCGTTGTCCTCGAAGCTATTGACTTGGGACCGACCGAGTACCCAATGCCGGTGGGTTCGAAGCGAGGTCGGAGGGTGGTCCACTCCTGGTTTTCGAACCTTGTCTCCCTTCATATGGGCTCTCCTTTCTTATGGGTTGCTATCTCCTCTAGTGGATGTACGCAGTGCTGGGTTTTCGACGCTTGTCTGCTGTTGCTCCCCTGTCTGTCTTGGAAGGCATTGAAATTTGGGACGGGGGTGTGTTCTACCACACTTTGCGGCCAAGCTCCAGAGTTTGGGAGACAAGAGTTGAAATCAAGGGAGAGAAGAGCGAAGGGCCGCATGAAGTGTCAAAATCCCGGGCGTTTACTACCCACACCGATCCCAGATAGGGAGACGAGGACAGACCAGCGTCAATGAGGGCAGACCACGGAAACATCGCTTGATATCGTTTGCCACCCAATTGAAGGGAGATGAAGGGAGACACTCATTGAAAATCCCAACGTTGGCCACACTCACGGGTCACCATGAAGAGTGACAAGGAGAGACAAGCGTTGAGACCTCGGCATTGGCCACCCTCCGGTCCGAAATGAAGGGAGACATTCATAAACATCGTCATTGGTCCCCCCCACGGATCCCACATGAAGGAAAACAATGGCAAACAAAAGACCGCGTGAATACGCAAGGGCAAAGCAGTGTCGAGAACGCCAGGAGTGAGTACCCGCACAAGTCCCAAATGAGAGCGAGACAAGCGTCGAGAACCTCCATGGTCTCCACCCACCCACAGCGTGAAACATCATTCTGATTCATACCCCCTGCGGCACCAATACTTGAGCCGCTCCTCTCCATGTCTATCGGCGCAAAGCTCAGGCTGAGAGTCCTGGGAAGCAAGCTGTTTGGGGGCGAGTGCGTCACTTTCCTTCCCATTTTTCTGGCGGATTGTGGCGCCTGGTAGCAGCTCCTCACAGTCTGCGGATACTCCTGCAATTGAACAAGCACTGGCTTTGCAGCCTGCGAGTACCTTCTATGCTCTGGCCTCTAAGCCTTCTCGGAGCTCAATCGTCAATGATGCCTGGCCAAAAGGACATGCTTCTGCAAATGGTCAGTCAATGTGTTGGGATGTGTATCACACGAATTGGCTTTCCCGGCATGAATCACCGGCGAAAGGCAGGCCTTCTTCAACTGAGAGCCAAGAAGCAAATACGCCAAGACAATACAGCACCAGTCGACACCTGGATGCGGTTGACGGACTGATACCGGATGCACATCTAGGCGAACCATAGCGAAAAACAATCCCAGACCGCTCGTACCACACGTGGGTTGTGGTGAGTTGATGAAATCGTTCATCTTCTGCTCGTGTCTTAGAGGATTCTTGAAAACGTAAGCTGCCTGTCCACACGAACGTATAGCTAGGCCAGACTAGGCCCAGTGATGACCCAGGCAGGCATGAGTAAAACATGCCAAAGCCGATTACGGTGAGTCGACTAGCAAGCTCCACCATCGATTGTCAGGCACCCCGGAATAGAAGCAGTAGTAAGAGACTGGTTCCGAAGACACATTGCGTCACATTGCCATCTGCCAGCTCACCAAGGAAATGAAGGAAGCAATGAAAACAATGCAACTAGTCTGATATAGTATAATGGACTTCAAAGAAAAACAATTTTACAAAGGGCTGGGGTCGTGACTTTCGTAGCCGGATGATCGCACTCGGACTCTCCAGGACTCTCCAAAAAAGGGTGAGGATGGCTGGGGCTATTCAGGTCGAAACCCCACTGGGCATGCATGGTCGCGGCATGTCGCGGGAAGAAACACAACCGACGAGACCATCATCCGGTTTTTGCCGATGCCACTTTGTCCGAAACAAAGACTCGACAAGTAGAAGCTGTGGCCACTCTCCTCGTACTGTTCAAACTCAAAACCCGAGTAACAAAAAGATGCCCAAGAAGGCAAAGTTGCAGTTCCAGACGTTCAGATAGAGGCCGAGGAAGCCTCGCCAATCCAATCCTAAGACATCCACCATGCAAGATTCTGCAAAGATGACCATGATTGAGCCATGACAAACTTGTTGAGATCGTTCGTTGTGATTTCGTCATTTCTCTTCTGATCCACGCTTGTCATTGCATGTGGCCAGACACGGTTCCCGGCAGAGCATGACCAGGGTGCTTTAGATGTGCCGAGGGTCTATTCTTTCTCATTCTTCGAACCAGACAGAAGATCTCCCAAAGCTCTGTAAAAAGGAGAACAGTGATCAGAGAATAGAACATCACCTCGAAGGTCCAGCTCGACCATGTCTCAAACAGCGACAGTGGTAATGCTCGATGTGTGATGTCCTGACCCGAATGCTGTGAGTCTGCGTCGGCATGCTAATGACTTGCAGTGGGTTCCCTCACCATGGCTCCTTCCAAACATGGCCAGTCCGCGGAAACATGAACCTGGTCAAGGCAAATCTTCCGTTGGAGGGGGGGGGTGGGGTTGAGGGCGTTAGAAGTCTCGTCTTCAACCAGTACCAAACTGGCGGCGTATGGTGGCCTGTACCCGACAGGGCGTGTTACAGCTTGGCAGCTCAATGTTGGTGAGCAGAAGGATGTCCAGCACAGGGCTGTAAACTGCGAAGGTGAGACGGGCACGAAGAGTGTCGCGCGAAAGCCACCTGCCTAGGCTGGCAACAGCAAGCAATGTCAAGCCCCTATGCGGCTTCACAACGTCACTCGAGTCGAGGCACTCCAAAGCTCGCCGTGGGTACGGGAAACACTCTCTGCACATTCTGCTTCGTTGGCATGGGGAGCTGGGAGTGTCAGAAACGTGGACAACCCGGGCCAGAATTTGCCGAGCTGCTTGCACAGAAATCGGCTGGCTGTCTGGCTAAGAAGTGTCCATCTGGGCCCAAATTTGCCAGCCAAACTGTTCGACTTGGTTCCTGAATCGCGGGAGCTCGAGCTAGAATTGCAGCAAAGAGCGACAACTTAACACCGTAACCATGTGCTGCGCTAGAACGCAATTCCAGCATCTAGCGCGATGCTGGTCATAACACTGCAAACAACATGCCGGCTAACAATAGCCCGCACGGTATGGTGTGGTTTGGTGCCGGTAACTGCAACTGGACGTCTACGCATTCTGAAGATTAGGGTATTAGTCGCACTCGTGGAACTGAAGCGCCATTCCTGCCTGCAGCGTTTGTATGTCTCCGTAGTCGACTTCGCTCTCAGAAATGAAAATTTCAGAGACGTTGCTGAATTACAACCATCATCCTGAATACTGGAGCCCAAGGTTCTTCCACGAAGCTGTTCTGCAAAAGCTCGTCTGCAGTTGCCTCCATGAAGTACTCGTTGTTGTGCACACCGCAGCTCAATCCGTAGGCTTCTGCCAAGCCTGCAGAATGGGGGTCCCGGGCAATCGCATAGTTCGGCGGTAAGCCGGCTATCGAAGCATCCTTCGTCTATCATTCGCGACAACTCTGCTTGAGGTACAGCCCTCCTGTGCAGTGCAGCTGAAACCAAGTCTGCACCTCGCATCAGACTCCTGCACTCTGACTGGCGTGGACTTCACTTCATGTTGGAACCGGCAATAAACCTGGTGCTCGGCAGGGTCCGGGTGCTAGAACCATCTGCGCCAGTTTGACGGGCCCGACCTGCACCAGTTGCGAAGGTCGTACAAAACAGATGAGATGACCTGCAATAATGGAGATCCCTCTGTGCTGCTCCCAGTAGCCTGTAGCGGGTGCAATTAACAACCACCCGCCTTGCGCATGTGGAGCAAATACCTAGCCAAGTGAATTCCCAGCTTGAACTAGCTGACCAGCTGCTGTCAATAGACCTACCTATCCCAGACTCGCTTAGTCACGCCAAGGACGAGTTGCATATCAAACTCCTCCGGCTTCATGGTCTCGGGGATCTCGCTGCTATTTTCTCTGGGTTCTTTCGTTTTCGACAAGAACAAGGGACGGAAGCCAAGTTCCAGCCAGGAGGAGAAGTCCTAAGCTCTACAGGGACAAAAGACTCACGCAATGCCGCCGGGAACTGTGCTTGAAAGCCGTACGGGAATAGCAGCTTCACTAGCACCTCTCAGGACAACTGGGCTGCTAGGGGGCCGTAAAAGTGTTGACATCATGCAGGCTCTCGTGGCCGTGGTTCCCGCTGAACCCGAAGTTGGCCTTGCTCCAGGCAACAAACTCTACCAGTTTTTGCTCGAAGTCTGTTCACACTTCAACGGCTTCTGAGCATTTGTCAGGGTCCGGCATTCTCGAGTATGTCGAAGCTGACCGCATGCTGAAGCGCCCAAACATCTGAAATTGAGCTTGTGCTCAATAGAGTGCAGGTATACAACCTGGCTAATCACAATAAGATGCATCACGTTACAATCACGCACAAAGATCATAGATGGATGCAACATGATGACCGTGCTCCGAATCTGCTAAGAGCATCGCAAAACCAATAGGAAGGCTGACGGCAAGGACTTCAAAGCATCTTGCTCGGCGATTTGGCCTTCTCGAGGCATCCGAAGTTGATATTACAAAGCCTTCTTTTTGTCATTGCAGCATTTACAAGCAAGCACCTGTCACGCTACAACTAAAGAAGCCGTCCTCGCAGATCATTCATGACAATTTGCTCTGGCACGCCGTGACATAGAACATCTTCGACTTTCAACGAAGCCTGATCGAACACCTGGGCCGACTGCGCTGCATGCACTCAGTCAGAACCCACTGCCATGCAACATGCCAAGACTTCTCAGTGCTTAAGTTCATGACCGATCGATCGATCCAATAGAAGACTCTGTCTGGGATCTTGGTTTGCACCTGATACCACAGAAGATTTCTCTTGGGCACAAACACTGCTGGCACTTTCCGCGTGCAAGGTCGAGATTGAAGCACTACAAGGCATCGCCGACGTGTATCCTCTTGGTTCCTGTTGTCGACTCATGCTTTCCTAGTCAGGACCCGTGAAGCCCTAGCCCTGCTGGAACCAGGTAACAAGGAAACCCGAGCAAGCAAAATAATCTCGAGCAGTTAAATGCACCCTAGGCAATGCTACAATCCTCGTGCAGCTGCCATGGAGAACACTGGAACCTGAACCGATGTCGGACGGACAACCTGCCGACATGCTGCAGGGAAAGGACACTGCAGCTGCAGTGAACCCCAGCAAGTAATGCATGGGCAGGGATCGTCGCCGAAAATCCTGAATGCCGCAATGTGGAAGGGGGGCCGGGACACATCGAGGAAGATGCTACCGGTCTCACAGGAAGGGCTGGAAGCGAATGGCCCAGATTGAGCGCAGGGCACAAACCACAAGGCCACTGGCTACGAACGGGACAGCTTGTGTCACACATGGCCGATGCGAGTCATCACCGGCATTGTGCCCACGTGCACGGATGATGGATAGCGGCTGGGCTGTGCGACCAAAAGAGTTTCGATGTGTTGGGTGCAACCGCTTCGCAGTGGCACCATGTGGCACCCTTGACTCGCATGCTGCAGCGCTGCAGCGCATGGAGTTCGTTCAGATTCCGGGAACGGTGCAGCGTGGAGACGTATGGGCTTAGTCGAGGAAGAAGTATCGCTAACCCAAAGGCTAAATGCTGTTTCTAGTTTCGTAGCTGGTAAACAACTGCCTCGTCCAGGCAGCAGCACAGACCAAGTTTGTAAGCTTCGGATCTGCATTGCGCAGCGGAGTCACAGCTGTGATTCTGCGAAACTCTGCGGCGAAAACAAGTACTGCTCAGGCTGTGCAGAAAGTCTGCATGCCCGCCTTCCGGAACACTACTGTAGACACTCTAGCGGAACACTACTGTAGACACTCTAGACGACACGAGACCGTCTCTGCAGCTCTTAGACGAAGACCCGGTGGAGTGGGCGCTGCAGGAGCTGTAATGAAGCTGAAGAACCTGAGAATCCCAGAACATGTCGCTCTTTGAGTAGAGGAATTTTATGCTTTATGCCTTCGACACTAAGCGCGGAGCCTCCGAGTAGAGTGCCTCTAGAAAGGCGTTGCATGGCATTCGGTTGCCATCTGTAGCTCGTGCAAGTTTAGAAGCCAAACGGCTGCGTGATGCTCTGCTACTACGCATTTGGACGATTCGAAATGCTTGCAGGCGCCATCACACAGAACAGCAGGCTGCATGATTGGGACTGCGACGTGTCATGCGCAGGCTGCATCTTCAAATAGCGCAGCATCTGCCCAGGCACATCAGCCTGAATATCGCTCTGGACTGCAGCATTCCACTGGGAACCAGGCACCACTGTCATCAACCCTACTAGTGACTGTCAGTTCGCAGAAGCAACTCGCTTTGCAGCTGATGTGCGATTGGACTATATTGGACTTGAGCTGTAATGCACCTGTATCGCTCCCTGAATGACTCTTTAACTTTCGTCACGAAGTTTCTTCTGGCCCTGCGCGATCGCTTGCGAGCAAAGCTGCCTTCTCCAATTCAAAGGCGGTGCAGCGCTCCTCATCAATGCTTCCCCTTTCAGTCCTGATCGTGGATAGAGACAGGCCCGCTGGGCATACCATGCCCGCCAAATGCGAGGCCAGGTGCTGCGATTATCGCGAGTTTGCTAAGAGACCACGTGCTACTGGAGCATGTTGTTTGAGCACCCAGCTTTTTCAATAAGTCGCGCAAAGCGAAAAGGCCCTCTGCAGGGGCAAGGCCTCATGCTTGGCAAACCGGACGAGAAGCGACGAGCACACGCAGAAAAGAAGTTCAGGGCCAAACGACCGGGACCACTTTCGTCTGCTGCGGCAAGGGCATCCACCTCAGTGACACATCGTCCGGCACGCACAAAAACAAAAACAAACACACACACACACACTGACTGACTGATCGACACAATGACACACAGTGCAACGCCGGACGAGCAGGTGCGACTGTAAAACATTGTAAGACGCAGGCGTCTGACGGCTCCACAAGATTATTTCGATTATCTTATCATGCGTCTCCGAAGTCCGCTACGACCCCTACGAGTACGTGAAGAATACTCGAGCCAACTCCCTGATCCTTGCGGAATTCACTCGGTGCTGAGTGCAGGACAACCTCCACCAGCTTCCTTGCGGTACACGCCACAAGGCTAGGCACAGCAGATGAGTGTTCCACACAGGTACCATAGCAATGCCGGGCGTCTCGTTCAATCGCCACTCCAGATCGAGATCATCCTTCTCGCCTGGCACAGAGATGACTCTGCAAGCAACAGGTGCCACGCAGCAAAACAGAGAGCGCATGGCGTGCGAAGGTCCCACCTTCGGACTTCTGAAGCTCCTCCAAGAGGCTTTGTGCCTCTTGACCTCGATCGTCGGTATTGCATTGTTCTCGAGCAAGAATCAGACGTCGTCAACACGGATGCCGAACAACGCAGACGGAAATGCAAAGTCACTGGAGGCTCTGGCCTGCGACGGCTACAATGAGCTGAAGCCGCTCATGCAATGTCATTCAACAACGTCGCAACAGTGGGGCTGAGGAGTAGCGAGAAACGACTTAATGCACATTAATACTGCTACATCAGCATCTCTTGGCTGAGACAACTATTAGATGCTGATGCTTCGATGCATCTGACGACAACAACTATACGAGCAATGTGTACGTGTGATATGAATGCAGAAATCCAGATGCTCTCCTTCGAACAAGTGGCTGAGCTCGTCGATAGTCACCTTCTCATTGTGAGCTTGACGGTAGATGCCGCACCTAGCACCAAGCTTATGATGCTGCTGGGCTGTTTCAAAAGCAGTAGTGAGCAACGTTCGGTTGCACTTCGCACTTGGATGCAGTGGGACACTTCGATGCTGGGAGTGCTTCAAGCCACGGGGTGCGCCCTGGGCCAACACGAGTCTCAGACCCGAGCTGCGCCACATCTTTGCTGCCTGATATTCGCTGTGCCCATCGCTTGGCTCCGTGGCCTTGGGGGTCAAATTCTCAGAACATTTCCTCCTTGCGACTTTCGGTTCAGGCTTCCGCCCATCATTCGCCATCAATGTACATCTGATCAAAAACGGCTTTAACGGAGCCAGTCCGGTTTCGATAGTTGCTGCCCTGTATGCGTCTCGAGAAGACTGTCCGTCAGAAAAACCTGCAAGAACCAAGGAAGAAGCTTTAGGTTTCTGGTCATTCATCCTAATCTTTGGTTTTTCTCTCTGACAACCTGCAGATGCTGCAAAGAGCCTACATCCGAACGTTTACTAAGGAAGCCGCTTTGCACCAAATACCGCAGCTTGGCATCACCTTTCCGGCAAATAGCCCGCATGATACGGCCTGGGCACGGGAAGCAGAGGGGCACCGGGCGTAGCGTATGATCTGCTGGAAGGCTAATAATTAAGCTTCATTCGAACATAATGCAGAAGACGCAGATCAGATCGCAGAGAGAGAAAGAGAAAGAGAGAGAGCGAGAGAGGGAAAGAGCGAGAGGTAGAGAGAAATAGAGAGCGAGCGTGACGTAGATAAAAATTTGGGCGGAATGTCGTCTCGGGTCCGACTGCTCGCGCCTGTAATCTAATTCTCAACCGAACAGCAGTGTCGCGATAGTGCTGCCATGCATTTTTGACAGCAGGGCTTTGGTGACAGAACCACTCGTGTGTAACAACTGTGGGTGTACCGTTGTACCGCGAGCTCACAGAAACACATAAGGATTCTCGCCCAGTGTGCCAAACAGGGCTCCACAAATCGAAGTCTGCACAAGTGACATCTTGAGCTCACCCCTGCCAAAAAAAAACACTGCATGCCGAAAGGACGGCAGAAGTCACAAACCACAACACAAATACACGAAACCTGCACACTTGCAACAATCAACACCCACTATCCATGCGTGGGCCTCCGCTTGTGACTTCTTTGTTGGACAGCCAAAGCCTGAAGATCTAAATCACCTTGTGGGCAAGCACTGGGGTGGCGCGAACTCCCACAGCACGTGATGTCAAAGACTGGTTTCCCAAACTTTGGTTTCTGTAGGCCTTCCGTGGAAGATGCCAGATGAAAGATGCGATGCAGCCAGTCCCGAACCACCGTGTCTAGGAAGGCAGCGTTTGCAATCGCTGTGCTGTGGGAAGATGGTTGCCAGAATTCTGGGAGTCTGATCCGGCGAAGGGTTGCTGAAGCAAGCATGACACACACACACACAGTGTCACAAATGATTTGTGTTTGCCATGGCTCTGCAAAACATAGGTCTTGACCCCAAAACCAAAATCAAAAAAATCCATTAAAGCTGGGTGCACCCCTCAAGAACGGTTTTGATGTTGCCAGAAAAACCCAATGGAACCTGCAAAATCTGATTTTGGATATTCTATCAAAACCTAGGCCCCTGCAAGCTTTTTCGAAAGCACCCCGGGCTGTTCCGGGAACGATTCTTGGCCCACTGCCCGGTGGCCTTAAGGGCAAATCCGACGCCTCAAAAGGGCCGTGAACCTACTTGAAACAAAAAACTACAATTGCCGTGGCTCAGCAAAACCTGGGTCTTGACCCTGAAAGCCAACTCCCGAAAATCCATTCGAGCTGCCTAGACCCCTCAAAAACGGTCTTGATGCTAGCAACCCTCAAAACCCTATGGAACCTGGAAAACCTGATTTGGGATATTCTGTTCAAACCTAGGCCCCCACAGGCTTTTCCGGAAAGCGTTTGTGCTGTTTTGGGAACGGCTTTGGCCTGAAAACCACGCTCTGATGTCAAAAAACCCAAAACGTCCTAAGGAACCTGCGAAACCTGATTTAAGGGTTCCTGCCTTTTTACCGGGACGTTGCAAATTTTTTCCTCCCCGTGACGTGCCACATCGAAGGCAGTAGATGGCCGGTTGCAAGACCCTTCCTGCAACCTTAAACGGAAAATCCGATGCCGAAAACGTTCTAAACGGACTTTCACACACCGATTTGTCTTTGGGAACGTATCTTTAATGGAGGCTAGTTTTTTTGTGTCTTGTTCCTCAAGGTGATCTCTTCGAAAACATTGACATGACGACTAATTATTTTTTGTAGCTTTAGAGTCTATTAATGTCCAGGCTTGCAGCTGTCGGCGCAGCTGCACAACAAACCATGCTAGTTTCGTTCTGCGAACACTGCTGACATGTAAGCATCGCACAAGTGACATCTGCTGCTGATAGAACGACCGGAAAAATGGCGACGGTTTTGTTCCTCAGTCGAAGACCTATTTAAGCGTTGCAAAAAAAAGCCAGGTTCGCGTACAGGACAGCATAATACAACAAAGTCAGGCCTGGCTAAACGCGGCCCATCCAGCTCAATGGGGCCCAGTCCCCACCGCCGTCCCAACTGGCCCTTGCACCATAAGCTCGAAAGGAGACGCATAAAAGAAAGTCAGACTCGCACGCCGGCCAGCATAAAATCAAAAACAATCCAGCCTCCCCCCCCCCCTCTCACCTGGCCCATGGAGCATAAGCAGGAGAGGGGCAGCACAAAAAAAGGCCGGGTTAGCATAAGCACAGAAACCGATAGCATAGATGGAGAAACCTCGGGCATAAGAGGAGAACCCATGAGCATAAGAAAGCAACCGTGTCGGCGACGGGATGGAGGCATGGAGGTCGATGGAGACATGGAGGCGGGCAGCATAAAAAGGCAGCATAAAAATAAAAGCCTTGAGCATGAAAATTAAAACCCACCCCTCCTTCATGCATCATCAGGCTTTCGAAGTTTTCGGCACGTACTGCCGGCTTTCGGAAGACGCAGAGGCCGACACCCAACATGATGATGATGTCGACTGAAAGACTGGGAAGTTATAGAGTTATGTAAAGGGGCAAATGAATACAGACATATATGCAAGTTGACATTGCTTCAGATGTCCCAACCGTTTCATGGACATCTGCATGCACGTGTATGTGACAAGTTGTTACGCTCACAGCTTATCTGCGTCTAACCTAACTTTCTATACCGTATGTGCCATCGAAAGACAACGTTTGGCACTATAATATAGCCCAACACATGTCGGTGTACCATCGCTCATTCCAAAAGTGTTCGATTGTAGCCATAGTACACATTGTAGATACATGTTTACACACATATACATACACAATATATATATATGTGTGTGTGTACACATATATACACATATCACATAAATATATGTATGTATTTATGTAGTTATAAAGTTATGTATTTGCATATTCAAAATTATAGAAGTGTGACACGAAGACATGCCTGGCTTTTCCGTCATACTTTACTTCCTGGTAGTGTCTTTTTTCTTGTATTGAACTGGTACAGTATCGTTTGCATTCGTTAGCCAAGTGACGTGTGCATCACACATCATCCAGCCGAACCAGCCGCGACCAGGATCTACAATTGGTATCCCAGTGATCTTACATGTACATGACAGCCACTCACCAGGCGGTACAAAAGAAATGGGTCGTTGGCAACAGAGACATAGCGAAGGCCTACTTCCAAGAAGGTGCTGCTGGCATTCAGGCATACCAGCTTTTCTGCAATAAAAACTTGACTTTAAGCGGCGGTTGCTCTCGCATAGCGAACAGCTTAGTCCTGGGCATCCGAGGAGGGCAACACTCAAGTTGTCAGTGCCACCGACCTCGGCACAGTGGAGGGCAGATTTCCTCAGTCAAACCGAGTCAAACCAACGGTTCCGGCGGAATGGTTGCACATCCAGCCGTGAGCTTGCAGCTCCATGCAGTCCCTTACAATCTCACTTGGCGGATCTGCGGAGGCATCTGGCTAAGGATGTAGGATCTGACCCGGAGAGTGCAAAGGCCTCGGTGACAGCTGCAGCCTTCTTTTCCCGCCGGATCATGTGCTCGGTCTTTCCATGCCATAAGATAGAGGTCGGTCTCTTTGCAAAGTTCATTGGCCGACAACATATATTTTTGTTCTGATGGCAGACCTCTGTTCCAAACTCTGCCTTTGCATTGCGCTGCACTATGCACGGTGGAGCTCTGTGTGGCGATAACTTAAATGACGAGCAGCAGAACAAATCAAGATGTCAGTGATGATGCAGTATGTTGCAAGGTGCTCTTTAGTCTCAATTTCTGCGCAACTGCACAACGGCCATCTTCCTAGCGATTGACAACTGAAAACATCTGGTCTTTCCTCAGCGAGTGCGCTATCATCCCAATGGGAGGCCTCACGCTATCGTCTCCTCCGGCCCCTGCATGCGACTGAACAAAGCCGGAGCTAATGAGTTGATAGGGGTGAGGCATCAAAAAAAAAATAGACATCAAAAAAAAACTAGGCCGGAAAATCACAAAAAAACTAAAATAAACATCAAAAAAACTCAAGCATGAAAATAAGCATCAAAAAAATCAGCACGAAAATAAGAAGTCGACACGGACAGAACAGCAACATCACCAGGAATAGTGCTAAAAATGACAAACCACGAAAGAAAAAACAAGAAAAACAACGTAAAAACAACGACAAGGAAAGCAAG